GGGGGGTTGGACTAGATGACCCACAGAGGTCCCTTCCAACCCCGAACACTCTGTGATACTGTGATTAATTACTCCTTCCCACACTTACTGTTTGGGACATTTGCGTATGATAAGGATGACATGAGATATCTGAGAAATGAAGTGGTTTATAAACTATTGATAAATCCTCTTTATTTTTACTTGTGCATTGTAGAATGTCTTCTGCTGTATGCACACACATTTTAATCAAATGAGCTTCATACGCTCTTAGTCCTATTATATTAGCTTTGTATTATCTGGCAGCAGAGGACCAACGCCCACTACGTGGTCTTTAGGGGGATAATATATATTATCTTGTGGTTAAAGCCAATGGTAAAATACCAAGAGCAGGAGATGGCCTTTCAAACGCAGTCAGCAGAACTCACAGCAAGACCTTTCAAAATCTCTTCCTTTCACTATTCACTGCTGTAACCTGTAACAGTTAAGCTTTTCCTAAATAAATTGAAAAGTAGTAGCAGGAAGAGGATGGTTTTTCTCATATGCCGAAAATGGTTGTCCAGATGTGAGACCTGATGCAAAATATTCACTTCTGTACACTTTGGACACAGTTTTTACCTCCAGCTTCTCACCAGCTTCTATTTGTAACAAGTAGTTTTTCTTTTCCTTGGTGTGCAGAGAGAATACGAACTTCCTAATTCACAGATAAATCCACTCCCTGCTATTCAGTATTGGCTCTGGTGGCATACATGATGACTCCAGGACATCTCTGGAATCAAATGGGCCACACACACACAAAGTTTGAAAAACAAAAGACAAAGTACAAGAAGTACAAGAGCAAAGTACAAATGCTGCTAGCTGATGTGACAAATTTTGAGATGGAGCCCAAAAGAAGGTATGGAGTAAGGCATCTGTCCTTATTGATGCCTCATGAAGTTTTTGTTAGCAGATGCTTGGTGACACCAAATACAAAGAGGATTTGTACAAATAGCACTAAACAATGTGCAATTACTGTACAGTTTGTTTAATAGTAAAGGCAAAGGTAAAAAGAAATTACTAAAAAGTTGATAGGAAGTCCAATGTCTAATAAAATTCTGTGTGTACGGTTTCTTCCTTCTATGCTATCCCCCACCCCTTTTGGCTTATCTATTGTTTTTTTTTATTCTTGATCTTTATTGACTGAGTTTTTCAAATTACAGAATATGATGCACACTATTAAGCACAAGGTTGGAATGTACGATACTGCCTTTTAGTAATGCGGAATCCATCACAGTGTTTCAGTTCTCCAAAAGAAAACTAGTACATTTCCTGAATAAGCTGTCAAAAGAAGTGATTTTGCAATAATAAATCCCGTAAATGTTGAATTCATAGCAAATTAGAACATGAAGCACGTGCATGTCTGCTATTGATACAAAAGGATTGCACCAGTGCGTTTCTTCTTTTTCTTTCCATTTTCCTACTTTTTCTGGTATCATCCATCTTCTGTCTTTGAATAATACATCTGTTACTGCTGCCTGAGGTGCCAAAACAGTTATTGCTCTTCTGTAGCAGCTTTTCCAGGTCAAGTACTGCTTAATATCTGTTTAGAAAAATACAGACAGCAACTGTGCACAAGCAGGAAGGTTTCAACAGCAGGAGGTTGGATCATAATGCTTGGTTATTCAGTCTAATAAGATGGGATATATGCTCAAATACAGCTTTGTCAATAGACTAGAAGCAATATTGTCCAACAATAGGCTAGAAGCAATATTGTCCAACATTTCTTAGGTTATATGATGCTGCTGAGTCTTCAGAGCACGTTTCTGTCAAAGTATTTCTGGATGGTCGTCCAGTATGGAAACTGAATGACTGAATTGATAACATGTTCACTGTGCTCATAAGCTT